TGCAATTTTCTTTTATAATTAATTTCCATAAAAAGGAAAAAAAGTTATTCTCCTGGTTAGGAAAATTTCGCTGTGCTTTCCTTCTCCGCTTAGTAGATTCAAGTATAAAAGGCTATCTCCACTTGTTTTCTTTCACTGCCTTCCTGATCTTCGTTGCTGCCTCAACCGATGAGATTCACCTTCAAATGGCGTCACCAATGGTTCGGTCCTCTTTTCCGTTTCCCAACATACTTTTCAGCCTTTGATTTTATGCACTACTGCAATTTACTACCGCTTAACCGCTTATCATCTAAACTTGAATTATTTTCTGCAGATTGCATCATGTAATTGCACCAAATCAGAAGTCCTTCTCCAGTCCGCGCTTGCACTTCGGGATGACCTGCAAAGCTCTGAGGTGGAACTCGGGGTAGATACTCCGATGCTTAAGTCAGCAATAATCGGGGCTACCTTTAGGGCGGAGATAAGAAAAGCTTAAGGTTGGTTTCAATCACCTTTTTGACGTGGCCCGGGGGGGTATTTATAGGATCCACTGAGGAATCCACGTGGCATGCCAAGCAAGATAATCGGAGCCTGACGTGTTCATCCAGGCGATTATTCCGGGACCGGGAATTTGAGAGGTATCTAGATGCACGAGCGTCCACCATACTTGTTGTACCACTCATCATAAGGAATCAAGTGCTGGCATGCTTATTGTCCTTGTCATGCAGCCATTTGAGCGGGAAGCTTTGAATTTATTCCTCACTTCGGTCATAAAGGAATTACTGTAGCAGTCCGAGGCTTGGCACCTCGGACCTATCCTTACATATCCTTACACATCATGTTGGTAAAATCCATTACATATTCTGGTATCTGCAATTTGTCTCTCAAACCTTGTAATTGAGGAAGCCCAAGTTCTAAACCTGCTGGTATATATTTTTCAATCGCTGTGTGTTTGTGTTTTTCTCTTTTTTTTTTTCACCTTGATTTTTTTCTTCTCTCAAAAGCTTGATTTTAATACATGCTTTGCTAACTTCATCACTAAATTATTAGAGCTTAGTATAAAGTATATTCTTTTCTTTGAATTATACTCTTTCTCCTCAATCTTCTCTGAAGTATTTGGTTTTAGAGTATTTTTCTTTTCTAGTTTTTAATGTTGTTATATCTTCTTTCAAAATCTTTGAAGCAACTAGAAAATACATATCCGACGAATTTGTAAAGAAGCCTTTTGCTAGATATATGCTTATTAAAGTCATTCCAAGTCATTTGTAGAAAATTATAGTTGTTGTTTTCTTTAAATTAACTATTTTATAATTGATTTCTATCTCTTTTTTTGAATTTGCATATGACAATATATCCCTTTTTTTTTAGTTGATAATGTACCTACTTATTTCAAGGTTAGCTCAGCAATAGTAAGCATATTTACTTCTTAATGTACCACATAAATGAGTTATGTTTGATTTTATAAAGTTCTTTGATGCATTTCATTATATAAATAAATAAATCTGTATATTATATCTTTGATGTATTAACTTTCTTAGTTGGTAGTATCTCCTTATGTTTTTCTTGATAATCAAATTCTCCAATTTTTTTCTCATTGTCCTTTAGAAATCAAAGAGTTTTTAATTATTTTTAACTTAAAATTTCTCCATGATGTAACCCTTGTTTCCTTTGTTCCTTATCTTTTAGTTTGAAAATGAAATGAAATTCATATAAATAAATTTGCTTATGAATTTAATTCTCTTATTTAACAAATTTTTAGTCTCTCTGCTATAAAGTATAAATTAAAGCAGAATTAATTTCGTTTCTCCTTTGCAGATTGTATCATTTTTGGTTTTTCTATTCCATATTCTGCAACTTGCATTCTCAACCTTCTTCAAAACCTCTCAAATTGGTCCAGAAACAATAGTTCCATGCCAGAAGGTATAGTTTTTTTTTTTCAACCCTTGTATATTTTTTTCACATTCATATATATATATATATATAAAGATTTATTTATATACAAGTCTTATACATTATACATACGTAAAATCTCAATAATTCATTTTTTCACTTTTAATGGTCTAGATTTATTCACATTTATTACAGATAAATATCTTTTCATCTAAAGAGTCATGAGAAATCTTAATTATT